TTTGTGTCTCAATTAGCAGCCTGATTCTGATTGCTAATGGTCATCATTTTATTGGAGATTAGGTGTGAGCAAGGACAGACCTGGAACTGGTGCTTTACTTGCTCCACTATTGGATATGTTGATGGAACATTGGATAACTCACCTCATTTATGAGCCAGGAAAATAGCTGAGTAATTATCTTGCTATCCAGGTGGAAGCCAATCCTGATGAACTCTAGTAAAGGAAAACAGGGTTTTCAGAGAAGGCCAGTGAGATTTGTATTAACATGGCAGAACAGATTGAAAAATCTGGGAATACTTCTGTTGGATAACTCCATTATAACATAACAATTAATGCTTCCCTTGGGATTTGCAGCTCTGAGCTCACAGAGTGTCACCTGCCGGGTGTGAATTGTCTGTGCAGGGCACAGAACAGCCCTTCCCTCCCTCCCTGCTGCTGGAATGCTCCTGCTGGAGTCAGGAGGGGCTCTCTGATGGTTCAGGGCAGAGCTGCTCCATTCTGGGACGTGGCAGCAGTTGGGAATGTGGCATTTTCCTTTACTGGTCAGTCTGGGGGCCTGGTGGGCAACAATTAGAAGAAACCCTGAAAACAGCTCTAAAATTACCATTGGGAACAGGAGTTCCTGTGATCCTGACTGGGGGGATAATTCAGGTCCTGGATAGTGAAGTTTCTAATCCCATCCAATGTAATTGAGCATGTTCTAGTTATCCATTACCTAATCTTTAGTTAATCCTAATAGGTTTTGGCCTCAATGTTTTCTCGTGGCAGTGAGTTCTCCAGATTAATTATGTTATATAAAAAGGCTTTTCCTTTCAATTCTACATTTGCAACTTTTAATTTAATTGAATGTTTGCTGGCTCCTCTGTTACACGAGAAGGAATGAGGAGTCTCTGGCCAAGCCCCTGTGTTTATGCCATCAGTGTGTCCTCCTCTGGTTTCCCTCATAAGCCCCAGAGTAGAAAGTTTAAAACCCGGCAACAAGAATGATCTAAAAAGCACAAAAACTCCACAGGGTTATTTTTCTTCATGATCAAATCTTGTTTGTTCACAAAACTGAATATTTCTGACGTGTTTCTGCAACTTCCACTTGGAGTAACAGAACTGAGCTTCAAGGATTCCCTGTCCCTTGTTGCTTTTGACTCCCTGCAATTCCAGCACTTTGGGTATTGAAACACCTTGTAAGCAACTGGAATGATGGTGGAAGGTGGGACAGGCTCAGCAGTGCAGGTTGGTTTGGGCTGGAATCCAATAAGAGATCCCAGGAAGAGGCTGGTTAAGAGGAAAACCTGGAGATTCCACATTTAGTTTTGAAAATCGGGCAAATTCTAAGTGACCTAATCTGGGCAGGTGTTCTCATCCCAAAAGCAGGGACATTTAGCTTTTAAAAACAAAGGCAAGCACCTAAAAACCCCTAACCCAGCACAGCAGTGTTGGATCTGGGAAACTGGGCCTTCTTCTGTGGGACTGTTGGATTCCTGCTGTGGGAATTGCTGCACATTCCAAAGCTGAAATCCAGTCATTGCTGCTGTTGATTAGAATTCTAGCACATACAGAGACCTGACTTGATTAGCTTTGGCTCATTCTGCTTGTGGAAACAAAAGGCTTTGGAGGTTTTTAGGAATTATTTTGCCTTTAAAAAGCAGCAAATGTGGGTTTGGAATAAGTTGGTGGGTTTGCTACACACCTTTAACTTCCACATTGCTGTGACCCTGCTGCAAACACAACAAAAGGAACCAATACTCAAACTTCCAGTGGCTTTTTTTTGCCTTTTGAGAGTGTAAAACTATGAAATCAGGATGTTTCTTGTCCGTGTTGGTGCTCCAGCTCTTGCCAGTGAACCAGCCAAGGCTTTCACTTCAACAACCTCATCTGGGAAGGTTTTCCTTGCTTTGAATTCAGTTGTGTAAATCTTGGTTTGCTTGTTCTTATTTTCCATCTTTATAATGACAAATGGCATCGTTTTATGTCTCTGTAACGGCACAGTCTGTGCTGGGGGATGGGTGAGGCTGCCAGGAAAGTGGTTCTGTTTTAAAAATTGCCTCCAGCCCCATCTCCTCAGTCCTGGAGGGTTTATTTGTGTGGTGTGTTGTGCCACAGAGGTTCCTGCAATGCCCCTTCCCTGGGCTGGGGCCAGGCAGTTCCAAGAGGGATTTCTTGGCCCTTTGTAATTCATGGAGCTTTCTTTGCTCTCTGGATATTTTTAAAGAGGGAATATTAAACCTGCATAGAAAATAAAAGGAGTAGAATGTGCCAGGAGAGAGAGAAAAGCTGCAAGTGCTAAAGAAACCTAATAAAGTTATTCCTGAGAACTGCTAATTTTTGATTTCCAGCAGTGTGTCCATCCTGCTGTTCCTGCTCAGAGCTGGATGGGAACAAAAGTCCTGGGTGTGTTGTCTCAGTCTGTGCTTTGCACACGAGGTGTTGGAAATAGTGATGATACCATTGCAGTAATTTAAATGTTCTATTTATTTGAATTCAGTAACTTGACATTTTCGAGTCTGTTCTGGTTTGGTTTGGTTGGTTTTTTTACTGTCTCATTCCTCTCTTGGAAGGAAAAGTGACTGTTTTGTACTAAATTGTAAACTAATGTGCTTGTTTAAAATAAATTGCAAACATTTGGGCAAAGTGGTGCATTTGGGCTCTTCACCTGCGTTTTCCAACTGGTTTTAATTTTCAAATTGTTTTTAGCTAAACTGTATTCCCAGGCTTGCCCATGTCCATGTCTGTGTCAGACCACATCCATCATTTTGTGTAGGTGTTTAATTCTGAGGACAGGTGAACCTTTACTCCGTTTCTTTCACTGTTATCCCATAAATTTCTGAAATGTCAGGGAATGCTTGGCACTGAAAGTCGTTTTCTGGCTGGCCCCTGACCTTGCCTGGGAACCAGCAATATTCCCCTGGGGTCCCTTAGGACTGGGGTCATCGCCTGAATCCTTGAGGGCAAACCTGGGCGTTGTCCCTGCCGGGGCAGGACCGGACCTGTCCTCACCACCCAGACTCGGGGCATCTGCTGCCTCCTGGTGAAGAGGTGCCAAAGGGTGTCCTGGGACCACTAAATTCATGGTCTGATGCTGTTTTGGGGACAAGTCCTACAAAAACTGGCACAATTTCATCGGAGGGAAGGAGAGTGCAGCCTGTGGGTCTGACCACAGAAGAGCCAACAGAAGGGAATGGGGAGTATTTTTAAGCCCAGACTTCTGAGGGGTTGCTAAGGAATCTTCTGAACCAGAGAAGAGAGAAAACCAGGAGCAGACACACGTTTGGGTTTGATTTTTATTAATGTTGGCAGAACCACCGTGAGGAAACCCCCGGGCAGGGTCTGGTGGCTGCTACAAGCTGAGCAGGAAGACACGGGAGTGTGTGTAGGGAGAGATCACCTGAGGGGCTTTTGCGGGGTGATGGTGTCACAGTGTGAGAGACACGGGGCTGGCGTGTGCCGCTGATGGTGTGAGTGGGACGCAGCCCCTCCCTCCCTCCGGCCCGGCCGCAGCTGCCGCGTCCCCCCCGTGCGCGGGGAACAGGCACCGCCACACCCGCGTGTTCTTAAAGTGCTTCCTCAGCGGCTCAGAAAAACCCACTTTAAAACTGAGCTTAAAAGAGACCGTGTGGGTCATCACCTGCCCTCCCCAGAAGCTGTTCCTGGCCTTAGGGAGGGTCGTGGTGCCCCAGCACGGCCGGTGCTGGTGGTACCTGTGTCACTGCAGCACGGTCACAGTCACGCTCCAGCAGTGCTGTACCCGCTCCCCAGCTTCACGCCAGCCTGGAATTTCTGGGTACTTTATTTGGGGACCCCAAATCCCGGCCCCCTAAATGTCTCCCTGATTTTTTTCCAACAGCACAGGGCTGAGCTGTCCCCAGACTGGGACCTGTCCCCGGGCAGGTGAACCATCACAGGGGACAGTCCCGACCCTGCCGCGCAGGAGGGGAGCGGGCAGGAAGGTGGTCTGTCACCCCGGGGTGGGTGTTCCAGGATCGGGGGCTCGGTGTGGGGCTCCCCGGGTGCCTCCACGAGCGGGCGAAAGTCCCGGTGCTGCCGTCGGCAGGAGCATATGTGTGTGCGGAGCTCCCGCCCCTAAGCTGCTTTTATTAATTTGTAATCCCCTGCGAGCAGGAGGTAAAGGGATTCGGGGGATTAACGGGCTCACAGTAACAACCACAATTATCAGCTCCGGCTGCCTGGGGCAAGCGGGGCACACACTCACGGGGCCGTCGGTGGCACACGCACAAAAACACGGACCCGCGAGCCCCGAGAACGCACCGACACCCCGCACACACGGACACCCGAAACGCGCGGGGACAGCCGTGTGCGCACACAGACCCGCACAGCCCTACAGGCACACCCCAAACGATCCACGGGCTGCCACGCACACACAAACAAGGGCACACGCACAGCTACACCCACAGGCACACGCACACACACGTCCGTGTCCGCCCCGTCCTCAATTAGCGCAATTAACCTCCTGCAGCCGCCGCGCGCCGCTGCCCGGGGGTCAGACATTCGCTACCTCTCCGCGTTCATTAATTAATTAGCGGAGGGGGAAGAGTCCCCCCCGCTCTCCACGGGGGACGTCGGGGGTGACCCGCAAACCGCCCCGCGGGGACAAACGAAATCCGGGCGCGGGGGCGGCCGGGGCGCGGCGGGGCCCGGGGGGAGGCTCCCCTCGACGGCCGCTCTCCCACCCCGCTCCGTGCGGGCTCCGGGGGGCTCAGGGGGGTCCCGGGGGCCGCTTTGCCCCCGCGGGCGGCTCCTGCAGCCCGAGCCCACGCGTCGGGAACAGCGGTCCCGGCCACGCGTGGGCCGGGGAGGGGAGGTGGGCAGCGCTCCCCCCGCCGCTTTTGTGATGCTAAAGAGCCCGGCGCTGAACCGCGGCCCAGCTGCGGCCCGGAGCCGCCCCCGGCCCGCCCCCCGCGCCCCCCCGCCCCGCCCAGCCCCGCGCCGCTCCCTGCGCGCCCCTCCGCGCCGCTCCGCCACTCCCGCGCCGCCGCCGCGCTCCTCGGACGGCGCCCACGGAGGCCGCGATGCTGCTGGAGCGGGTCCGCGCCGGTTCGGAGAAGGCGGCGGAGCTCTGCCCCTTCCCGCGGAGCCCAGGTGAGGCGGGGGCGCGCAAACCTCCGCGTCCCCCCGCGGAGGCACCGCCGGGAGTCCCGTCTGTGCCGGTTCCGCGCTCCCCGGGGCACCGTCGGGGCCGCGGTCGGGGTTGGCTGTGGGGGAAGGCGGGCGGCCCGACGGCACCGAGGGGTCCATCCCGGTCCGTTCCGCCCGCCCCACGCTCCCGCTCGCTCTCTCCTGCTCGTCCCCGATATAGGAGACCCCCTCGCTGCCCCCTCCCCCCCCCCCCACGCTTCAGACGCCCGTTTGGTCTCTCCGGGGTAACGACGGGGCTGCCCCGGGGTCCCATCGCTCCCCGCTCAACAGGGGCAGGGACGAAACGGGAAGTTTTTGATGTCCGAAGGTTCCCCCCGACGGCGGGAATCGCCCGCACCCCCCACCCGGCTCCTACCCGGCTTTTTCCGCACTTTGGAAAAACTCCCGTTAATTTTTCTCTTAAACGTTCTTTCCTCCCGTTTAACGAACGGGGACAGCCCTGTCGGGGCGGGGGGAACAGCACCGCGCTCCCCCGCCGTGCTCGGGGCTCCGCGTCTCACCGGCGGGGGCACAGCCGGGGCCGGGGCAGCGGGTCCGGTCCCGGTGCGGGGCCGTCCCGGTTCTCTCCAGCAGCGACCGCGGCCGGCGGGGCTCGAAAACCAAACAACGAGGAGCCGGCGCGGGGACCCCGCCGGTGTGCGGGGACCGAGGTGTCACCGGCCGCGGGACCGACCCCGCGCCCCGGCAGCCCCCGTGGTGGGGTTGGTGCCCCCGGTTCGTCTTTCCGTGGCCCTCCCCGTCGGCTCCTCGCGGTGCGGGGGTTGTGCGTTTGACCCGACAACCGGGAGCTGCTTTGGCCCTGCGGGGGCGGAGGCGACACCGCCGAAATTGGTACTTCCGATCGGTAGAACGAAGGACGCGAAAAGAACTATTTTCCCGCTGGACGCGATGCTCGTTTTGGGCCCCGTGGTCTCCGGCTCCGTCGGGGAGGCAGCGGGAGGGGAGCGAGGGGGCTCGGCGGGGCTCAGCGGGGCTTACCGTGGGGATGGCCGGGGCAGGACGGCGGCAGGACCGGGCCGGGGGGGGTTCGCCCCGCCGGGGGGGCCGAGCCGCGCTGTGCTTTGCTCGAGTCGGGGGCAAATCCGGGGTTTGCGGCTCACAACGAACCCGGGGCAGCGCCCGGCGCTGCCTCCCCCCGGCGCGACCCCCGCCCGCCGCCGGCCCCGCCGGGGTCGTTTCCCGGAGCCGTGTCCCTCCCGCCCGGCCGGGAAGGGGCGGCGGGAGGGGACGTGGGGATGTGCCGCCGGGGGCGGGGGGGATTAAATACAGCGCGGCGCGATGCCCTGCCCGGCGCTTCAGAGCGGCACCGGCGGGCAGGGCCGGCGGCTAAAAATAACCCGCTTTAGCGAATTAAATCCCCGGCGGCGCGGGGGTGGCAGCGGCCGGGGAGGGGGGACACAACTGCCGCCGTGATCTGGGGGGGGAGATCGGCGGGGGGAGCGCGGCGGGTCCGCGCCCGGCCCGGCCTCGGCAGCGACGGGGCGGCGGAAGATGCTCCAGAGCCCGCGGCCCCGCTGAGCGAGCGGAGCTGGCCCGCGGATCGCGATGCAGCGTAAGAGCCGCGGGTCGAGCCGGGCTGAGCCGGGACCTGCGGGGCTGTGCCGTGTTGCCGCTGCCGGAGCTCAGTCCCGGCCGGAGCCGCTGCCGCTGTTGGGGTTGTTCGTTTGGACGCGGTGAATTGCTGAGGAGAATGAGATCACCTCCACCCCCACGCACCCCGAGGCAGCTCTGTGTCTCCACACACAGTTACCTTTACATATAGATACTCTCATGTCCTCATCTATCTGTATCTCTACTGCCGTGTCTATATCTCTCCATCTCTATCTATACCGATATATCTGTATTTATGTATCCCATATTCGTATTTTTACCTACATATCTCTATCTATACCTCTAAAACGAAATCTATATATTTATATCTATGTATCTGTAAATTTCGTTCTCTATCTACTGTATTTGTTCATTTTTATATCTCTATCTCTCCTTATCTGTATCTTTATCTCTTTCTGTGTCATCCCTGTCGGGATCTGCAGGGTGAAGGGACAAGCCTGCCGCGTTTTTATTTTCAGTGCAATTCTCGCAATTTTTGGTAGTTTCTTTCCTTACTCCACCCGGGCTGCCCCGCCGTTATTTGAAGGTGAATTTTGGACGTGCAGGAAAAGGAAAAAGAGCCTGGAATAACTGTAGCTTTGCCGGCGGATCGGTCGGGGGGTTCATTCCGTTTCTATCACGTCCCTTCATGTTTTCCCGGGTGCTCCCGGGTGTGCACAGCCCGGGGGTTCGCCGATCCCCGCGGCGCGGGCAAAAGCTCACGCGGCGCTGCAAAAAACGAATTTGAACGAATACTGTGGTTTCCTGGGCTGTTCCTCGGGCCACTCCGGGCGGCAGCGGCCCCGGGGGTGGCGGGAGGGGCCGGTCCGGTCTCGGGGGGCAGCGGGGCTGCCGGGGGCTGACCGGAGCTGCCTCCCCGCAGAGATCCCGCTGTGCGCCGGCTGCAACCAGCACATCGTGGACAGGTTCATCCTCAAAGTCCTGGACCGGCACTGGCACAGCAAGTGCCTGAAATGCTCCGACTGCCAGACGCAGCTGGCCGAGAAGTGCTTCAGCCGCGGGGACGGCGTGTACTGCAAGGAGGATTTCTTCAAGTGCGTGGGGACCGCCCGGGACGGGATGGGACGGGGGGCGGCCTGCCCGGGTGGGGGTCACAGCGCGGGCAGCGACTCAGGGTGAGGGAGGATTCAGCACCGGGACAGCGGCGGGTCCAGCACCGCGGACAGCGCCAGGCAGGGCCGGGAACCCTCCCCGGGCACCACCCGGCTCAGCGGCCGCCGCTTGTCCCCCCCCGCTCAGGCGCTTCGGGACGAAGTGTGCCGCCTGCCAGCAGGGCATCCCCCCGACCCAGGTGGTTCGCCGGGCCCAGGACTTCGTTTACCACCTGCATTGCTTCGCCTGCATCGTCTGCAAGCGGCAGCTGGCCACCGGCGACGAGTTCTACCTCATGGAGGACAGCAGGCTGGTCTGCAAGGCGGACTACGAGACGGCCAAGCAGAGAGGTACCCCTTCCCCTTGCCCCGTCCCTGCCACCCCCCGAGGGCAGGAGGGAGGCGGCCCGGGGCGCTCCTGCCCTCCGGGACAGGCTCATGCAGCGGGCGGGAGGGGTGGGAGCATCTGCCGTCGGCGGGTGGCTGCGGGGAGGTCGCGGGTCCCGCGTCCCGTGGTGACTTCACCTCCCACTCGCACCGTGTCGGCAGAGGCTGAATCCACGGCCAAGCGGCCCCGTACCACCATCACGGCCAAGCAGCTGGAGACCCTCAAAAACGCCTATAACAACTCGCCCAAGCCGGCGCGGCACGTCCGGGAGCAGCTTTCGTCGGAGACGGGGCTGGACATGCGGGTGGTGCAGGTGAGAGCGGGGTCTGCGCGGGCCGGGGGGCGCCGGGGGGGGACCGGCCCCGCAGCCACCGAGCTCCCCGGCGTGTCCCGCCCGCAGGTCTGGTTCCAGAACCGCAGGGCCAAGGAGAAAAGGCTGAAGAAGGACGCGGGGAGGCAGCGGTGGGGTCAGTACTTCAGGAACATGAAGAGATCCCGGGGGACATCCAAGTCCGACAAGGACAGCATCCAGGAGGAGGGGCCCGACAGCGACGCCGAAGTCTCCTTCACAGGTCGGTCACCGGGCTGTTTTCACCTCCTCAGTGCCACGGTCAGAATTTTCGGGTATAATACAAGGAGTGAAGCCAAGCGCCCGGGGGGGAGAAGGGCAGAGCTGTGGGATTCCAGGCGCGGTCCTGGCGGGGGAACGGGGGCCGCGGGGGCTGAGGAGCGGGGGGGGGGACGCTCCGCTGTCCCTCCGGGGGGGATGTTTGTGTCAGGCCCGAAAAGCTGCGGGGACAGCAGGGAGAGCTCCCCGGGCAGGCGCTGCGATGTCAGAGCCGCAGCTCTCACACGGCCTTTTCAAGGGACTCTTGGAAATACAAAAAACAGAGAGTCCAGAACCACTGAATGTTTTTACGGGAAAAAGTGGGCAATTTTTAATTTATTTTTTTTTTTTTATATTTTTTAGGGGTGGTTTTATTTGTGTAGTTACTCGTTCGGTCTCCTCAGTCCTGCGGGAGCTGTGGCAGCTGTGCTGCCAAAGGGAGACTGCTGCGGGTTAGGAGGTTTCTGCATCAGAGAGTCCCGTTTTTGGAGCCGAGATTTCTGTTGACAAATTCAGAGACATTCCCCCAGCAACTCTTGTCCTGCACAGCCTCATGCCACACTCTCCAGAGCCTCAGGAGCAGGATGGGGTTGGGTGGGGAGGTCAGTGCCTGAGGCGCTGCCGAGGGAACGTTCCAGCTCCAGGCAGAGCTCCATCCCAAACGTGTGTGTGTGGTTTTTAGGGATAACGAGAGAAACTGAAAGGCAAACCTTTGTACATATTTATACAGACACATCTCTAATGTGTATGTTTATGCACACACAGCTTTGCATCTCAGCTCCTCTCTGTTTCTGAAAACTATTCGATTTTCGAGTCTGTTTATACACACACACTGTGCATCAGCTCATTAAATATGAATATTCTATAAATAATAACTAAAAAATGTGAACAATTATTGAGAGCCCCATGCCACAAACAGGTTTGTATCCCAGGCAACAGAGCAGCTCTCACTGTCCATAAACTCCTAACAAATACAAATAATTTTTGCGGGGTATTTAAAAATTGTTGCTCATTTCTCAGGGTGTTTTTAAGTCAAACAAATACACTCTGGAACTGTGTTTTCATTAGCTTGTTCCTGAGCAGACAAATATCTCTATTTAATATCTTTTTTTTCCCTGAGAAATGGAGAGTTTTTCCTTGCATTGGTGAATGTTCAGGTGGCTCCTAAAAATTATACCAAAATTAGGATAAACCTCAAAACCAAATAGAAACAAAAGGTGGAAAGGTATTGAACTCACTTTCCCTTTAAAGGATTATTTTTTAAATCACAGTCTTATATTTTAATATGTACTTTTCATGCATATTTTTAAAATCCAAATTGTATCAGATGTTTGTACTCAGAAAAAAAATAATAACCCCGTGGCCTTCTATGAAGATCCGTCAGCAAGGGTGGGAATAATAAGGAATTACAAGTGGGAAGAGCGTGGCTGCTCAGCTCCCATCCATCTCATCTATTTATACCCAGAGCTTGCAGGGGTTCCTGTGCAGCCACTGCCACCCCTGACCATTGCTCTCCCAGTGAAACCAGTCCATTCCAGCCATGGCCAGTAAAACCAGTCCATTCCAGCCATGACCAGTAAAACCAGTCCATTGCAGCAGTGACTGTTCCTCTCCCAGTAAAACCAGTCCATTCCAGCCGTGACCATTGCTGCCCCAGTAAAACCAGTCCATTTCCCTTTCAGATGAGCCCTCCATGTCAGAGATGAGCCATTCCAATGGGATTTACAGCAATCTCAACGAGGCGTCCCCCGCGCTGGGGAGACAGGCCGGGACCAACGGGAGCTTTGCCCTGGATCCCAGCGGGATCCCAGCCCAGGACCAGTACCACGACCTGCGCTCCAACAGCCCCTACGGGATACCCCAGTCTCCAGCCTCCTTGCAAGCACTGCCAGGCCACCAGCCTTTAATCTCCAGCTTGGTTTACCCAGACAACGGCTTGGGCATCATGGGACAAAGCGGACAAGGGGTGCCCCAGCCCATGAGAGTCCTGGCCGGGAATGGCCCCAGCTCCGACCTCTCCACGGGCAGCAGCGGGGGGTACCCGGATTTCCCTGCCAGCCCGGCCTCCTGGCTGGATGAAGTCGACCACGCTCAGTTTTGATACAGGATCCACCACGGTGCAGTGGGAAGGGAAAGGACTCGGTGCTGTTGAACTCTTGGAATGACAGAGGGCCGAGCCGTGGCTGCCGAGCGGGGCAGGAATGTGTGAGGACACGGACGTGGGTTTGGAGGGGACCCGGCCTGGTGGGCAAAGGCAGTGGCACCACAGCAAGTGGCATCCTGAGTGTCCAAACAAACTGCTTCTCGTGTCTTTACTAAACACCAAGACTTGTGCTTTACAGATTTGATATGAGGTATTTTGCTTTCTGTTGTCAGTGCATTCTCCAAAGCAAGGACTTGCTTCATCGCCCACCCACACTGAGACATTTTCAAGGGAAAATAAAAGTCCTCATCCACGGTGAAAGGTGTGACAGTGTCTATATTTCTATAGGAGAACTGTTCATAGTGAATCACTTCAGAAATCCATGGTAGGAAACTTCTCTGTTCTTCCAGCAGATTTTTTTAAAAGCGCACCGATGGTGGTATGTTTTGTTTTATTTTGGATTTACGTCCACTTTTCTAAAATGAAATGCTCTTTAACATGCCAATCATTTACCGACGTTTTCCTTTGTAAAATGAAAACCATATGTTAATTCTGCTTCTCCCCTTTTTAATTTGTAGATTGCTAGTTTGACTCTTCCATATAAGCATTAAACCGTGAATAGATGTATTTATTACCAACAAATTCCACGTTTATCACGGGGTCAAGAGGTGAATTTTTCTTGACCCAGGAACACTAATGGCTCTGGGTTGTGGGTCTTCTGCTTTTCCTTCACATTTCCTTGCAACAGTTTAACTGCAAAATGTCTCAAAAAATCACCCTGATGTCTTGTTGCCAAATACCTTCTCGGGGGGTCTCTCAGCAGGAGGGTTTGGCTGGTTTAGTTCCTGCCATTCCTGAGGCACCACTGGGAGAGTCGGAGCGAGCACAGGCTTTCCTGGGAACACATCCCTCTTCCAGGCACTTGTGTATTTCCATGGATATGGTGCGAGCTGATTGTGAGGAAAGGCAAGACAATATGTATATTGTTATCTGTAAAAAATATGGAATTAACTGTAGATTATGTGAATGTCCAGTGTCTTTTATTTATATTCTCGCTTTCTCTCTGATGATCAAATACTTCAAGGTTACAAATAAATTTGTCAGCTAAACTTTAAACAGTCTTTTGCTAAATTCACATCGAAAGCATCAACATAAGTAAATAAAACATGTTAATCTAAGAGTAAAAGCTCTTAAACCTCGATGCCACGATCCAACAAAGTGTTGAAATGTGCTTTCAATATCTCCAATATTTTAATGTTGAAATATTCCTCTCACCAGAGGAGCAAACCCACTGAGGTGGAAATGCTTTGGAAGAAAAAAAACGACAGTTTTTGGAGGCTGGCAATCCTTGAGTGATCCAAATGGGACTGCTCTGGGCACACACAGACTTTGATCATGGCCTGGCTGTTTTTGATGGGTCCTGGTTATTTTTTAGCATTTCTCCCAAAGGTGGAAGCAGAAATCTGGGCTGATAAAGCAGTAGCAAATGCAGTCTGGTGTTGTCTGTCTGCGAGCAGAAGGTCGGGAACATGAAACACGGAGTCAGATATTGGAATATTTCAAAGAGAAATCTGAAAGAAAAGGGAAAAAAACCCTCAAGGGGTTAAGTTTGACAGAGCATGTACATATATTTGTTTGGTTTATATACCTATATATACAAACACACACATATATCAGATATGCACATCTCCTCGTACACAAACATCCATGGTCATGCTCCTCGGAGCAGAGGGAAGTGCTGAGGCCTCTGGCTCAAGGATTTGAGGACAGACCCTTTATAAAGCTTTGATGTTCTCGCTCCCTGGGAAGTCAGGGAATGTTTGCCCGGGGTTTTCCATGTGCACAGGAGAAGAGCAGCACCCCTGGGCAGTGAGGAACACCAGGGCCATGCTCTGGTACCCAGGGCAGAGCTGAGCTGCCCAGCTTGTGGAGACGCCTGGAACATCCCGGATTTGATTCCTCACCTTTTCCAAAGGTGAGGGGAGGGTCGTGTCCCCCATCTCTCGCTGTTTGGCAGCTGGGGGGGCTGTGCTGAGCACAACCCACAGCCACCAGTCCCTCCTTCCCGGGCCTTTGCTCAGCAGGGGTGGGACACTGATGTCTCCAGAAGGGAAAACCCCACTGTGTGACACCAGGGGTGTAAAAAACACCCCACCAGCTTGGATCTCGGGGTGACACGTGGAAATCTGCTCATATCTCTGCTCTGGGGGATTTTGGAGATGGGTGAAGCTGTGTCTCCTCCAGCCAAGGCAGAAATTTGCCTTGTTTAGGTGAGTCTGAGCCCAGAGCTGGGCTCAGCAGCTTTTCCTTCCTTCTCCAGGACTGAGTAATAAAGAGACAACTGTTGCTGCCAGCCTGTAGGTACATCACAAGGACATTTCTCATGGAAATTTGTGGAGTAAAGAGAAAACTGTGGGATTTAAAAAATCTGATTGCAGAACTTCACCTGAAGAGAAAACAGGAGTTTGTGTTTTCAAGATTTCCATGTCTAGAAACACCCTCACCAAAACTGGGCAAGTGTTTTGCATCAAAACACTTCGGTGGTTCAAGTATTAATAATATTTTCCTATAGAAGACTAAGAAAAGACTTTGAGACATGTTTATTTCCTAAAAATAAGGAAATAAGAACAGAAAGACAGAAATTTTGGGATAATGCTGTTATAAAACCAGTCTAAGAACTGTAGTACTTGAACACGCAGTTTATAGATATTTTTCTCATCGTTTCCCTCCCTGCAAATAACGGACACTGCTGTTCCTCTCCCCCGGGGAATTCCCAGGGGATGGCTGAATTTAAGAAAGGGAGAAATGCAAATCTGCCCCTCTGCCTTTGTGCTTTGCTCTCAGAGGCAGAACGGGCTGGAAGTTGCCGGTGTTTGTTCTCGTCTGAACACAGAGAGGAGCTTCCCGAGCGTCCTGATCTCAAATTCAGGGATTGCATTTCAGCCTCTCCTTTCAGGGCTGAGGCTCAAGGATTCCATTAATATAAATGCTTTCTTCCCGTTAAAAAGAAAACCAATTTGAAAGAAGCAAATAAAACTAACGCTGTCCAAGTGACTGACAGCTTGTAAAACCCAAACAGAATTAGGAAGGGGGGTTTTTGCACTGCTCAGTTTGCAGGTGAGCTTTACAACCTCTGCTGATTTCCGTGAGTGCAAGACACAGGAGGCAGGAAATTTTTTGTGTTCTCAGTGAGGAAAATCTACTATATTAATATTTTTCTTTTTTTTTTTTTTTTTTTTCCAAACAGCAAATTCACCTTTGTGCTCAAACCTGTGTTCAAACCTGTGTTCCCTACAGAAATTATTAGATTTTGTGTCAAACAGTAGAATGTGGACCAGGTGAAATCCCTCATCCGTGGGGAGCAGGGAAGGTGGATGAGGCCAGTTCATCCTCAAGTTCCCCTCCGGTGGCTTATCCCAGATGCATCAGAGCATCCAAGCAAAGGTATTCCCACCACCCCTCGTGTCTGACCTCGCCTCCCTCTGCCCACACCACGGTCCTTGGGAACAAGGCAGGAAAGGCCAGAGACCCTCCTCCTGCAGCACAGGCAGAGCTGCTGGCTGGGATGAAGGAGGGATTCCAAGAGATTTGGACTCAGTAAATACTTCAGCAAAGATGCTGCCTGTTAACAGGCATCTTGAGCCACCAGCAGCCCAGAGTTCAGCCAAAAACAAACCCCACACCTTTTTTTAGCTCTCTGGTGATTTTTCCACGGAGGTCTGAAGACCATCCCTGTCTCTGCAGGGAGGGCAGAGCCTCTTGCTGCCGGTATCTGGCTGGACAAATGTCCTGCATCCCACTCCCATCCAGGCACTGGCCTCTTCCAGAGAGGAAAGTCTCCGAGTCAGCTGGAGGCGAGTAAATCACTCCTGACAGCTACATCTCTACAGGGCAGTTAGAATTAATGTAACAATTTGGCGTTTAATGAAGCAACAACATGCTGGGCTGCAGAGAATGGCTGGGACCTGCTGCAATCACATTATAATCCCTCCGGGACCCAAACGGCAGCGACTCCATCAGATGCCGACTTGTTAAGCCGAGCAAAGGGCCGGGTGGGGAGAGCGGAGCCGGGAGCGCCTCCAGCTGGGAATCAGCCAGCGTGGGGCAGCTGAGCGCGGCTCAGGGGACAGACCCGCCGCTCGGAGCCCCAACCCCTGTGGCTTCGTGCTCCGGGATGGGAATCTGAACAGCAGGAGCAGCCCAGGGGATCGCCAGGCGTCGCCTGGAGCTGCCGAGGGTCTCGGCCCGAGCAGGTCGCAGAGATGCTGAATAATGTTGTCGGTGTCAAAAGAATATCGTGTGGGGCTTGTCAGAAGAGGAGAGGAATAAATCAGCACTGCGCAGGGTGGGACTGGCAGGACAATATGTTTTCTAAATAAAAACCAGCTCCATCAGGTGCTCTGCACCTAAAACTTTGATTTCTGCAGGCTGCAGGTATTCCAGCGTCTCCAGGATAAGACCTTTTAAAAACACTGCGTGGAGGAGGGAGGGAAGGGAACGAATGCAAATGACTTTGGGGACAATCTCCCGTTCCCCATGTATATACATACCCACTCAAAGCATTGCAGCAGCTTGGAGGCTTTAAAATAAATCATGCAGTGCTTTTCTTTCTTTTTTTTTTTTTCCTTTTTTTTTTTTTTTGCTTGCCTTGAAATGAAAGCACAGCACAAAACAACATCCCCTCACTCGCCGAGGCAGCCGTGCTGGAGCTCCTCTCCGGGGCTGGCTGGGGTGTGTGTGTGGCCATAAAGCTCCACACGTTCTGTTGTGAAGCCTCATGGTCACCGGCTTTAAGGGCTTGACAGGTTTATAAAGTGCTGAGTGTCCCCGGGGGACGCTGGCACTGTTTGCAGGGAAGATGAAGCGTGCCACATCCAGCTGGTCTAACCAGGCAGCGGGAAATCTAAATTAATTCAGGAATCGCTGCTGTTTTTCCGAGGGAGGATGTTGTACTCGAGCTACGGGAATAGCACACTGGAATATTTATTAACGGCGGGATGGGGGGCAAGGGCAGGCTCCCCTCTCTCGTGGTGGTGTAAATCAAGGCAGGGAACAGCAGTGCAAAGGGTGGCCCCAGGGCTGTGCCCCTGCAGAGACAGGGGTTCCTTCCCACACAGACACCCCCACAGGACAGGGTTTGGGGGGGAAGGTTTATTCCCCTCGAAACAGCTGATCTCCTCAAACCTGCCTGGAAGGAGGGGTGGGCCTCATCCAGGCCCACCTGGGCTCTGTGGGTGAGGCCAGAGGGAAGTTATTTAATGGCTCCTGGCTCCCCTTCCCCAGGCCTGTGTCCTTGCTGATTCCTGGCTTCCCTCAAGCAC